TATATATATGCGTATGTATAATATAAATTACTACTATATTATAATATATTTCATATACAAATCATATATAAATATATCTATATCTGATACTATGCTAACTATATGTATATAATCATACTATAATATGGATATATTGAGTAGTATTCTTATACTGATAATCCACATTTAGATATATATCAACTACTAATACACGACCAATACCCACTATTTTGATGTATAGAATTAATCACTATATATTACTATATAACTCTCATCGTCTATGATGATCCTCTATATGACACAAGTGTACCATTATCGATACATCATTTATGAGAAATATAAATCTTATAAAAGATAATGATAAAAACGAGTACATGTAGATAATAAAGATATGAATATATAAATATATATATCAATAGATATTATTATATATTATGAGATAAGATATTATTATAAACATATATAAACATTAGATCATATACTATATCACTATATACTTAACTCTCACAATATTATATGTTATTGATTGCTAGAGTATGGAGATCCCAAAAGCATAACAACACCATAATATAATTACCAATCATAATTGCCAAGTAAAGTAGTACTTAATATAATACATAACTTATAATAATATAAATATATATACGAATATTATATATATATACTATATTATAGCTATACTATTATACGATATACTATTAGTAACTATATTCATGTAATTTTTACTATAATATATAATATAATTATATTAATATAATATATCTAGTATCATGTTATAGCATCTTCGTAATGATTAGCTCTTTAGTATATATAAATTAATTAGGATACATAATACCAATTATAGTATATACATAAGTATAAATAACAAACTATATTTTCACCCCCCATAATTAGTGTTAAGTCCGCAAATATATAGGTAATCATATTAGATAGCCAAGCGGTGAGACCACTGATCTCAGCTATTATATAGTTATATCCATAAACTAATATGAATATCAATAAAACTTATTTTTCCATTTGCTAAGTAAATAATATTATTACTCCATACAATACTCTTTTAAACATAATTATATTATGTTTTATTATTATAAAAATAAAAAAAGAGAAGAAAAAAATAATACCATATCGAAGAATTAATATTACCACCTTACACTGCCAATGTCGCAACATACAAACTAGATTTATGATTAAATCTAGACTATTTGTCCATGTATTCATTGGAATCTAGAGCTCTTATTTATGTACATCTTTAAATTATTATATCAAAATTCATCTACTGACGTATCTAGTCGATGCGCGTGTGTAATAATCATCACACACAACTAGATATTATGAAGCTATCGTCAGTTCGTATATAGGTATATCATATATAATATTATAGATATATTTTAATCATGTATATGATATACATATATTATAATAAATAATATCGATTAATATATGTATTATATTATGAATAGTGGGGTAATATTTGACGATAATATTTGAGTGTGTGTTGATGTATGATGTTGTTAGGATGTGTATATTTATATATATGTGTATAACTATATGTATTAGTAAGTTTTGTGATGTGTTGTATATAGTGTCATGTGTGTATATATATATCTGTGTATTATGTATCGTAGTGAGTCCATGTGTATTATTATACTGTATATAATGTGTATATAAGATATAATATTATACTATATATATATATATATAATATTATATATATATAATATTTAATGTATTTATGTAATTAATTATATGTATGTATATGTATATTATAATGTATGTGTAAAATATGTATATATATTGTATATGACTATATATATGTATATGATTTAGTTGATAATTATAATAATATATAATATTATATATGACTATAATATTTATTACTATTATATATAATATATAATATTAATATAGAATATATGTATAGTATATATTACATAGTGAGTATACATATATATATACATGATATACATACATATATACATATATATATAAAGTTATATATATGTCAATGTATATATAATAATACATATATATCATATATATAATATATAGATATACTTATATATATATATATATATACTGATACATAATTATATGTATACTATATATCATAGTAATTATATAATATATGTATATATTATATATTATTGTATATATATATTATTATATATATAATACTATAATATAGATGTATATATCAATAATATATTATAATCAATAATAATATATAATATAATGTCATATACATAATATAGATTATACATATATATTATTACAACATAATTAATATCATAGTAATCAATATAATATAATACTAATAATATTGCTATTATAATATATAATTAAGTTCAACTATAATAATCAATTATAATTAAATACAGTATATATAATCAATATATACACATTATACATAATTAATATATAATCAATTATATATAATTATATAGGATATATATATATAGTATATTTACATATATATGCTAGCGCAAGATATATATGTAATCAATTATAATTAATATTATTATACCATATTAACTATATAATATATTGATATCATATTACATATATATACTAATCATACAATATATATTCATATAGCATACATATACTTAACCTAATTATAATATACTTGATAATATATATATATTATATATTAATATATGTAATAATATAATTATATAATATAAATTACATAATTAATATATATATACATACATTAATATAATATTGATAACATACATTATAACTAAATATAGTATAATTAATAATATTGTAACCTACATATTATAACCTTAATATATATACAATATTGATATAATGTTAGTTATATAATTAATTATATAATGAATATACATATACCTAATATACAATAGTATATACTATTATTAAATATTATTATAATCATATACCAAATTATATAATATATACAACAAAATTAACAGTAATATATAATTAATTATGATTATATATATTATGACACTACATATATCATATTAATATACATATTAATTATATATTCAGCATTATAATAACTTAATCATTACAATATTAAGTCATAATATTATAATATATAATGATTAACCAGTACATATAATAATAATAATTCTTTTACATAGTTACATATCATTAGTATTAATTTATATCACTAATCAATACTAATAAGTATATATAATACTAATATATTATCAAACATTACATAACATATTATATATATAATTATATTATTACATTAACAATAATTTATACATTAATATTACATATATATATATAATACCTCCATAACAGATATATTATTACTAACCCCACCACCCTCGAAGCCAATATTACATGATATTTTTTATTAGTTCTAAATGTGAAGTTTATACTGTTATCATATGTGTGAAGTGCCCTATGTGTGTGTATGCTTTGTAATTTTGCTGATATATTGTTTGTCATATGTTATATCAATAATTTGTCACATATTTAGTATACACTAAGCAGTTACTATTAGATTAATATACACTAATTAATATAATCAAATACATTATATCTATAATCTACATGGATAGACAGTTAATTATATTATGAATTACATAAAAGTTGAATATATATATTATCCATTAATAATGATCACAATTAGTCATAATAAAGACTTACATATAGTATATATACCATTAATACTATTACATATATTATCAAGTACAAGCTTACAATCCAACACTAATACTCCTTATCCCTACATATGAATTAACATTATGCACTACACTATATTAAAATTCTTAATTTAAGTAATGAATGCTATGTAGTGCAAAGATTTATGTATCATGCTTCTTTTCTTAAGACACAAACTTAGAGAACTAAAATCTTAGCAAAAAACAAGATAACATGCACAACCATTAAAAACACCCAACATAGTCTTAAATGTGTAATTTTCAATATATATTAGCTTAACCTATTATATAATACGATGTTAAAACCTCTGATTGATCAATAACAAAACCTAGCATATTTAACCAATACTAACAAGATTTGACTATTTAAAAATTCTAGAATTGCCCTTAATCACTCTAAACCCCCCACCACCCCCCAATTGTAATTATCTAATTGTCATTCAAAAAATTGAGCACACATAAGTGAGTTTTTTTTGTCATTCAAAATGCACTACAAATTGAGTATTTTTTTTTTTTACTTGTCAGATGTTTTTGCATTCAATATTGACATTAAAAGTCTTAAAGGCAATATACCAATCTTTTCTCAAGCCTTCATTATCCTCTCTTTTTGTTTGATGATAGATTTGGTTTCCATTGTTAATCATACCCCAGAAGCCCTGAGATACTGACAGCTATTGTATATTTCATGCACATGCACAGAACACACACACTTTCTTCTCCCAAGCTCAGATCCTCACCCGGCCACACACTTTTCTACTCTTCACCCACCTAGGAACTCCCTCATTCAGCCCCAAGTTCCTTCTACATTTTGCTCTTGTCACTTATGACTGTATATGTTAATTAGGAAAAATAAATTCATATGATATTAATAAACTTAAAATGGAAGTTACAAGTAACTGTTAAAGGTTCCTGGATTATACACATATTCTGTCTCAGCTTTCTGTATAGTCTCTTTTGGATGTACATATATATGTTGGCATACATGTACTTGAGCTGTAGGTTTTCATGATATGTAGATGTAGCTTATGTTCGTATTTGTACTCTTATGTTAGTATGTGATAAGATGTCCTTGAAGGAATAAGTGTTCTTATTCTTTCTTTGTCTCTCTGTCTCACAAACTTTTTTTTTTCTTCTTCTTCTTCTTTTTGTAAGGTCATCTAGTTTTCAAATGTTTTCAGAGAAAAAATAAAAATAATGATAATATTAATAATAACGATAAGAGGACCAATGTTTTATTTGTGTTATTCTCAATTTTCAAGTCTTGAGTATTGTGTTTGTGTGTTTGTGTGTCTGTGTCTGTGTGTCTATGTCTGTGTCTGTATCTTAAATATGAATGTTTGGTTTAGTTTTTCACTTATTTTCTTTTACATGAAG